AGGAAATATGAGTATTCCAGCTTAGTTATTCTTTTTATTGTTTTAGCTAATTTGTGTCCCATAAAATTCCAAATAAATTTTTGGTTAACTTTTTCCATTTTTGCAAAAATAATGTTGTTGAGAAATTGATAGAAGTTGTATTGATTCTGTGGATTATTTTGGATACTATGGACATCTTAACTACATTAAGCCTTCTAAGCCATCAACGTGGTATGTCTCTTTATATATTTGTGGTTTCTGTAATTTCTTTTAACAATATTTTGTAGACTTCATTACACAAGTCTTTTACCTTCTTGGTTAGGTTTACAAATGAAATAGTTTTATTAATTTCCTTTACTGATTGATGACTATTCATGTACAGAAATGCAACTGATTTCTTCATGTTGATTTTGTACCTGGCAATGTTGCTAAATTTGTTTATTGGTTCTAACAGGTTTTGTTGTTGCTGCTGTTGTTATTGTTGGGGAGGGGTGAGTCTTTCTAATTTTCTATTTGTAAGATTGTGCTGTCTATGAACAAAAATAATTTTACTTCTTCCTTTCTAGTTTAGATGCCTTTTATTTCTTTGTCTTGTCTAATTTTATGGCTAGAATTTCCCATAGTATGTTGAATAAAAATGGCAGAGTGGGAATTCTTGCCTTGTGCTTAATCTTAGAGGAAAATCCTTCAGTCTTTCCCATTGAGTATGACAGTTGCAGGCTTTTCATAAATGACCTTCATCCTGTTGAAATAGTTTCCATCTATTCCTAGGTGGTTTTTATCATGAAAGGGTGCTGAATTTTGTCAAATGCTTTTTCTGCATTAATTGAGATTATGATGATATGGATTCTTTTTCTTCATTATGTTTATGTGTATTACAGTGATTGAGTTTTGCATCTTGAAATATGTATGCATTCCAGGAATAAATCCCACTTGGTCATGGTATATAATCCATGTAATATGCTCCCAAATTTGGCTTGCTAACATTTTATTGAGGATTTTTCATCCATATTTCTAAGGGATATTGGTCTCTAGGTTTCTTTGCTTGTAGAGTCTTGGGCTTTGGTATCAAGATAATTCTGACCTTACATAATGAACTTGATAGTGTTTCTGTTTAAAGAGTTTGAAGAGAATTTGTGTTAATTCTTCCTTAAATGTTTGATAAAATTTGGTCACTGATTTAATATCCTTACACATTATTGGTCTGTCCAGATTTTTTATTTCTTCTTGATTCAGTCATGTTAGATTGACCATTTCTAGGAATATACTCATTTCTTTTAGGCTCTTCAATTTATTGGCATACAATTGTTCGTAACATTCTCTGATTATCCTTTTTATTTTGGTGGCATCTGCCCTATTGTCTCCTCTTTCATTTCTGAATTTCTTTTATTTGAGAAACTTAGCTTCACAGAATTTTTGTTTTTCTACTCTCAATTTTGTCAGCCTCTGATCTTTATTGTTCCCTTCCTTCTGCTTTTTGGAACTTTTGGGTTTAGTTTATTCCTCTTTTTCTAGTTTCTTAAGAAATAAATTTAGGTTATTGATATTAGCTTTTTCCCTTTTTGTATACATTTACAATCATAAACTTTCCTCTTAGTACTATTTTTACTTCATTCCATAATTTGATATGTTGCATTTTCATTCTCATTTGGCTAATTCATCAAGAAGATATAACAATTGAAATATTTTACAACTTTCCTTGTGTCTTTTTCTTTGACTTTTTGGTCATTGATGAGTATGTTGTTTAATTTCTACATATTTGTGGATTTTCCAATTTTATTTATGATATTGATTTTTAGTTTTATTTTATAATTATTTTCAAAGGTATTTTATATGATTTCAATTTCTTTTGAATTTGTGAAGACTTGCGTTGTGGCCTAACATATGATCTCTCCTAAAGGTTGTTCCACAGGCACTTGAGAAGAATGTCTGTTTTGGTAGTGTTTGGAGGAGTGTTTTATGTATCTGTGTTATGTCCAATTTGACTGTAGTATTGTTCAATTCCCCTGTTTTTTTCATTGTCTTCTGTCTGTTGTATTTATCTGCTATTGAAATTGTAATATTAAAATCTCCTACTATTAGTATGTTGCTGTTGCTCTCCAACTTCAGTTTTGTCAAAAGAGTTTTATATATTTAGGTTTATATATTTAGTATATACTTATATATTTCGTTTTATATATTTAGTATATAAATATTCATAATTGTTACATCTTACTGGTGTATTGACCCTTTTATCATTATATATCATTTTGTCTGTTATAAAAATGTTTATAAGTGTATTTTTGTCTGATATAGCTGTTCCTGGTATATTTTGTTTATCATATAAATAGATTGATTTTTCCCATCTTTTTGCTTGCAACCTATGTGTGTTCTTAGATCCAAAATGAGTCTGTTGTAGACAACTTACACTTGAATACTGTTTTTGTTTTCATTTTATAAAATCCATTCAGACAATCCACAATTTTTGTTTGGGGAGTCTAATCTAATTAAATTTAAATTAATTACCGTTAAAGAAAGACTTACCCTTGCCACTTTGTTAATTGTTTTCTGTAGATCTTATAAGCTTTTTGTACCTCCTTTTCTCTCTTACTGTAATCCTTTATGATTTCATTGATTTTATTGTAGTTCTGTACTTTGATATCCTTTTCATGTCATCTTATGTATATTTAAAGCTATTTTCTTTGTGGTTACAATAGCAATTTCATACAATATCTTAAAGTTATACCAATGTATTTTAAACTGAGAACAAATTAACTTCAATCACATACAAAAACTCTTCTTTCTTATAGCTGGACGCCCACATGCTATGTTATTCATGTCAAAATTACGTCTTTATATATTATATACCCATTTTCATAAATTTCTCATTTTAAATGCGTTGCTTTTTATATTATATAAACCAAAATTACTATAGTACAGATTACTGTATTTCTTCATTTGGTTACTTTTCCCAGAGAATTTTATATTTCATATGACTTTGTGTCACTGTCCACTGGACTTTCATTGCAACTTGAAAGACTCCCTTTAACATTTTTTCTAGAAAAGGTAACATGGTAACAAACACTTTTGGCTTGATTATGTAGAAAAGTCTAAGTTTTTATTTCTGTTTTTTTTTAAGGAGAGTTTTGTCAGATACAGTATTCTGTTTTGACAGGTTTATATTTTTTCTAACAGCTTTTTGAATGTATTATTCCACTCCCTTCTGGCCTGTAGTGTTTTTGCTGATAAGTTTACTGATAATCTTATGGAAGTTCCCTTTTATGTGATGAATCATAACTTTGAAAGTAACTTTCCAGAATGCTATAGTGGGATATAATCATCCAGTATCATAAATTGAAAAGGGAACACATGAATCTAAGTGCTTTTTAATAAAAAGTCATTGAAGTCTCCTTACTTAACACAGTTCCCTTAGACCAGTGGCAGACATAACTGTCTGTGTTGTTTCTGGAGCCTTCTGAGGATTCTTTATTGTAAATTGGGCTTGCAGCTTTATCCACTACTATTATAATACTCTCTTAATCATCTACTAACCAAGTTTCAAATTTTGTTGCTATTATCATATCTCTTGTTGTTTATTTTTCTTCCAGGATATTATTTTTAATGTATTTTTCATTATTTTATTTTGGGTTTACAAAGGAGATATTATAAGCATCTATAGAATTAATTATCTTAAGTGTTAATATTTCCCTGTAGACTCAAGTGAGGACTTTTTTATACAACTTGATGTTATTTTCTATGATGCCAATAAAACATACTGTATATTTCATTTCCAGGGTCTCTATTATCAGTTTGTTACCAAAAAGAAGCCATCTAATTAAAACATTCTGATTACCAATCTAGTTCTTCTTTCTGTTAAGTGGTCCAGGACCACTGTTTTAGTTTAGTGTTTTATTTGTTTGTTTGTTTGTTTGTTTTGGTTTTTTTGTTTTTTCTGCTATAAGGAACTGCATGAGACTGGATAATTTAAAAGGAAAGAGGTTTTGGCTCCTTGTTACTTATGCAAATTTCTGTAGCCTGCTTGAATTTTTCCTCAGAAAATAGGTTTTTCTTTTCTATTTAATTGCAGATTGAAAATTTTCCAAGCATTTGTGCTCTGCTTCCTTTTTGAGCAAAAGTTCCAATTCCAAACCATCTCCTTGCGAATACATAAAACTGAATGCTTCTAAGGAGCCCCCAAGTTACATCTTGGATGCTTTGCTGCTTCAAAATTTCTTCCACCAGACACCCTAAATCATCTCTCTCAAGTTCAAAATTCCACAGATCTCCAGGGCAGGGGCAAAATGCCACAGTCTGTTTGCGAAAGCATAGCAAAAGTAACCTTTGCTCAAGTTCCCAACAAGTTCATCATCTTCATTTCCGACCACCTCAGTCTGGATTCATTGCCCATATCACTATCAGCATTTTGGTCAAAGCCATTAAACAGGTCTCCAGGAAGTTCCAAACTTTTTCACTGTCTTCTTCTGAGCCTCCAGACTGTTCCCAACCTCTTCCTGTTCCAGTTCCAAAGTCACTTTGACCTTTTTAGGTATCTTTATAACAGCACCTTACTCTTTGTACCAATTTACTGTATTATTTTGTTTTCATACTGCTATAAACAACTGCCTGAGACTGGATAATATATAAGGGAAAGAAGTTTAATTGACTCACAGTTCAGCATGGCTGGGGAGGCCTCAGGAAACTGATAATCATGGCAGAAGATGAAGGGGAAACAAGGTAACTTCTTCACAAGGTGGCAAGAAAAAGTGCCAGATGAAAATGGAAGAGCCCTTTATAAGACCATTAGATCTCTTGAGAACTCACTCATTATTATGAAAACAACATGGGGTAAACTGCTGCCATGATTCAGTTACCTCCACCTGTTTTTTCCCTTAACAAATGGGGATTATGGCATTATAATTCAGGATGAGATTTGGGTAGGGAAACAAAGTCTAACCATATAGGCTACTTTGCCACTCATAATTAAGTGTTGTCATTTGGCCTCTGACACAATGTTTTTCCATTATTCTTTCTGAAATTTTTAGAACTATTTTAATGGCAGAATTCTCCACTTTCATCTGTGACTTAAAGAAGAAATAACTAGAGAACTCTTCATAGACACTACTTTTCTTCACAACAACGCATTTGTCATTACATAGTGCAAGGGGATGTCATCTGACACATTCACAGATATTTTGAGGTAAGTTGTTGATTTGTATATGGTAAAAGTCCTTCGCTACTTCTATCTTCTTAAGTCTTAGATTTCTCCTAATTTTCAACAAATAATATCTGACATCTCAACTTCATTTAGCATAGGTATGAAATACACACTCTAATCATTCACTTTAGCAAACAATTTGAAACATTCCCACTCTTGAATTGACATGTTTAAAGAGTAATTTTAAGTACTTCCATATAAAAATAGTTTTATCTAAGTTTGACTTATTTCCTCCTTAGCCTGAGCCTCTGTCTTCTACTTTGGTGCCAGACCTTGTTCTGTTCCCCTGGGACATACTCTTATCTAACTCTCATCATAGATTAGGATATTTGTCTCAATGCAACCATGGCAGAGGGTATAGAATTCCTACAGCAAGGTAATACTCTTGGATTTAGATAAAGATATGTGTTGTTTCAAATAAAATTGTAACAGGTATATTAGACAAGGGAAACAGATCAGTTTCTGTTGTCAAAAAAAGGTTTAGAAGGATTTTTTAATTTGCTTTATTCAAAGTGTTCCCAATTTTCACTGAAAACCCTATTCCAATTTTCCATGTTCAATCTTGTTCCAATTAATACCTTGATGGCCACGTCACATTTATTATGAAGCTACAAAATTAATTTAGGCTTTAAACAGTGATTTGAAAAGGCAGATTCTGTATCTGATATTTTTGTAACATGAGACTTATGGATGGTTAAATGATTGAAAGAAATTACGGAAACTTCCAGAACGAGTGAAAATTTTTAACCTGAAAATTTAAATTATTAGTTTGTAATTTTCTTCCCTTAAATGGTGTGTGTTACAGATCACCAATTCATTCCACAGACCCCCATATTTTTTATTTTATTAAAGAAATAGCTTATTGCAGGGACCGTACACTTTGCTAAAGTATTGCCTTTTTTATACTCTTTATTTAAGGTAACCACGGTGATAATGTAAGTACCTATGTGCCTAACACATCAATACATGGTAATGACTACCAGTAGCCATATACCAGTGTTAACAAAATTCTTGCTTTTTTCAAAATCATTCATCTCTGACATGAAATCCCAGAATTTCATTTCTCATGTATCTGTAGCTTGCAACAGCACTGTACAATTACTCTGACAGGCAGATCTGTCACTACTGAAAAGACAATTCACTCTAGCTAATTTTAAGGAGATATAATTGTTACTATGAAGTAAGCTATTAATCTAATATTAGGAGATCTGGGGGGCAATGTTATGTACTAAATTAAATATTCAGGAAATTCTTCCATTGCCCCATTGCCACACTACAGAATGAAGCTATCAAACAGAGGAGCCTACTTTGTGTAAAAAGTTGTAGTATATAAAAGCTGCCTATTGAGATAAGATGTCATCACTGCTTCTGGTCCCAGAGTCACATCCACCGTGACCTGATTCATATCAGCAAAATTGATGCATTTTGCCTTCCTCACTGTCTCCATGACTCAATTACAAATTCAAGTCATGTACCAGTGAAACTGCTTAGCAGAATATAAATCATGTCCAGAATCCTAGCATACTGGAAGAGAGTTAGAAGGAATCTTGTGCAAACCAATCTAAATTATCTGCTTCACCTGATCATTTTAGAGAAAAGAAAGAAATAAATAAAGAAAAAAGCATATTGAGTCAGTTTATAGGTAATTCAGCTGGATATGTCAGCACTGTGGCAAAGTGAGCTTCTCTGTTATTACAGCCTTATTTAGCACTGGCACTAAAGAATGTGAGAGCAGGGACATTCTCACAGTAAGTAAAACTAGAAATTCTCTACATTATTTGCTTTATGGCTAAAAGAATAATTGCTCTGAGGTCAATATCTGTTCCAGTTCCTATAATGTGTCAGATAGTCAGGACTTATGTCAGAAATTTGGAATGGCAAAGCTGGAAAACTGGAATTAGAAGGCTGAGCTGTACATAATGGGCCACAAATCTGCATATGTACATAATTTACATTAATGCTTTTCCAGTGGGGTTAGGATACTATATGAAAGATACGTGACTGTTTTATTGCTGCTACTGTAGTTTCAATCATATATCTTAATATTCTCCCAGGAGTGATTGACTGCTTCCAAAGTTAAGGAATCATTTTTTAAATGCTTATGCTTCTTGCCAGAAACCATATTTACCTTAATATAGTGTTTAAGATGTCAAAACACTGGGAGGGAGAGGAGTGGTGCATGGCATTTACTAATAAAACAACTTACATGGTAGGGTGAACATTGGCTATAGGCCAGACATTGTCCTAAGTGCTTCACATATTTTAACTTATCTAATATACATAGCATTCTGTTAGTACTCTGTTCTGCCCTGCTTGAAAGGCAGGATGGATACTCTTACATCAAAAATTCAGTTCAGATGTTGAGACTGATGTTGCTACATGCTCACACCAGGAGGATAGGAAAAGGTTTTCTGTGTATATAACTGATGTCTAAAGGAACGGGAAGGTATCTCAAAATGTCTTGACAGAGCAAAGAAAGAAGAATGGCTTAAGATTTTTGTTATGAAGAGGGGTACACCTCGGGGTAAGAGTTCCTCTGCATGGGGAGGGGCTAAGATGATGTGATTCTTTCATCGGCAGCAAAGGACAGAGAAGCTAGGCTTTATCATCAGCTTGTACATGTGTGCGGAGCAAGGGAAAGAAGGAAGTACAAAATAGAAAACTGATAGCAGTCAACTATGAAAACATGGTTACAGATTCTTTATTATGCTTCAACCCTGCTTTTTGACTGCTGACTGTAACATGCCGTATTGCAGTTAGTTGAATTTGGAAATGTTTAAATCAGCCATTATGATGCTCTATGATGCCTTTATCCTGAGGTGGGTAAAGAAGATGAATGTTCCCATTGAATGCCTTATTAAGATGTCAGCATTGCGTATTTCGATAAGTGAAATGCTCTACAATGCCTGCATCCTGAGGCAGGTAAGGAAGGTGAAAGTTCCCATTGAATGTCTTATTAAGATCTCTGCATTGTGTATTTTGATAAGTGAAATGAGTGCCTTGGTCACATTAATAATATTTAGAACTCTGAAATGGATAAATGTGTTTGGGTGAGATCTTCTATCTTGGCTTTAGTATATTTAGCCTATGTTGTGTTGTTTGTTAAGTTGATTTATATTTTGGATTTCTATAAGGCAGGAGATTGCCAGAATTCATAACCTTAATGGAGGTAACTTTCATGCAGTAGCCCAAGAATCTGTAAAAGTGTTCAGGTGGGGCTGATTAGCCAGGACATCTAGCACCGATAGCTGCCTAAGGTTTGGCCAGTTGTGTCATTTGGGTCTGGTCGTTTATCAGAAAAGTCTCGTTTAAGGGATGAAAGCAGAAGGGATGAAAAGCAGCATCTCTTCACTGAGTTTTGTCACATTCCTGGGTTCAATACTGTCCACAAAATATTAAGAACTCATTCAAGTAATCTCAAGAGACTCCCCAGGTAGCCACAAGCTTGGCTAAAAGCTTACATTTCAACACCATGGAATCTGATAAAATACTAAACTGAGTGGAGGCCAACCACTTTCCCATAAAAGGTATATACTGTTTGGGCGCGGTGGCTTACGCCTGTATTCCCAGCACTTTGGGAGGCTGAAATGGGTGGATCACATCAGATCAGGAGTTTGAGACAGTCTGGCCAAGATGGAGAAACCCTGTGTCTACTAAAAGTACAAAAATTAGCCTGGCATGGTGGCCGGCACCTGTAATCCCAGCTACTCAGAAGGCTGAGACAGGAGAATAGCGTGAACCCAGGAGGTGGAGGTTGCAGTGAGCTGAGATTGCACCACTGCACTCCAACCTGGGCCACAAGAGCGAGACTCTGGACTCCATGTCAAAAAGGAAAAAACAAGATTATCGGTTTGAATATCTTGAAGAATTTCCAGAGGCAGTCAGAATTGAACAGACTTGAAAACAAAAGTGGGGAGGGGGACATACCAGAAGGTACAGGTTTGTTCCATCTGGTATCAAGGAGGCCTTGGTATCCATGCAGAATTTGTGAGTCATTGCTTCCATGACCCAAGGGATACAGAACAGCAAGGTAAGGAGACTCACAAGTTCAGGGACTGTGAGTACTTCTTTTTCCAGGAAAGCATAGTGTGCAACCAGCAACTGCATCTCTGAGAGCATATATTGTGGGAAAAGGAAGATAGTGTTGGATGTGGCAGGGGGAGGATTCCTACACATGGGAGCGTTAAGGGAGACAACTGGAAGATATTTTTAAAAAGCAAAGGGAAGAGAAAAGGATTACAGCAAAACAAACAATATTGTGATAGAAGGAACAGTGGTATAAGAAGGATAGAATGATGTACCAAAACTTTTTTTAAAAGAGGGTCATTTAGTACAGGGATGTTCTGAAAGATAATGTTCAACATGAGTAGGAATAATTTTATTAGAAGTGGTAGATGTGGAAATAGATTTTTATTTGAATTATAAATGTTGAATAAGCAGTTTAAGAACAAAAAGATAAAAATCACATTATATTTCAGAAGGACATATAAAGATTGAATAAAGATTCCTTCTATTTTTCTTTTGAAGGGTGTATATATTTTAAAGTAAATTTTATGGTGTATATTTAATGTATACAACTTGATGTCATAAGATACTCACATTTTTTGAAACGGCCGTGCACTTCCGGGCTGCCAGCGTGGAGGGCGGCGGCGACGAAGCACAGACAGCATCATGGCCGAGCAGGTGGCCCTGAGCCGGACCCAGATGTGCGGGATCCTGCAGGAGGAGCTGTTCTGGGGCAATGCCTTCCGTCAGTCGGATACACACATAGTCATCATGATGGGTGCATCAGTGAGCTGGCCAAGAGGAAGATGTACCCCACCATCTGGTGGCTGTTCCGGGATGGCCTTCTGACGGAAAACACCTTCATCGTGGGCTACGCCGGCTCCCGCCTCACGGTGGCTGACATCCTCAAGCAAAGTGAGCCCTTCTTCAAGGCCACCGCAGAGGAGGAGCTCAAGCTGGAGAACTTCTTTGCCTGCAACTCCTATGTGGCCGGCCGGTACGATTACCAGCACCTCAACAGCCACATGAACGCCCTCCACCGGGGGTCACAGGCCAACCGCCTCTTCTACCTGGCCTTGCCTTCCACGGTCTGTGAGGCCGTCACCAAGAACATCCACGAGTCCTGCATGAGCCAGGCAGCCTGGAACCACATCATCGTGGAGAAGCCCTTCGGGAGGGACCTGCGGAGCTCCGAGCGGCTGTCCAACCACATCTCCCTGTTCCGCGAGGACCAGATCTACCGCATTGAGCACTACCTGGGCAAGGAGATGATGCAGAACCTCATGGTGCTGAGATTTGCCAACAGAATCTTCCATTCCACCTGGAACTGGGACCACATCGCCTGCGTGATCCTCACCTTCAAGGAGCCCCATGGCACCGAGGGTCACGGGGGCTGTTTTGATGAATTTGGGATCATCCGGGACGTGATGCAGAGCCACCTCCTGCAGATACTGTCTGGTGGCCATGGAGAAGCCTGCCTCCACCAACTCGGATGATGTCCGTGATGAGAAGGTCAAGGTGTTGAAATGCATCTCAGGGGTGCAGGCCAACAACGTGGTCCTGGGCCAGTAAGTGGGGAACCCCGAGGGAGAGGGCGAGGCCACCAAAAGATACAAGGATGACCCCATGGTGCCTCACGGGTCCACCACCGCCACCTTTGCCGCCGTCGTCCTCTACATGGAGAACTAGAGGTGGGTTGGGGTGTCCTTCATCCTGCGCTGTGGCAAGGCCTTGAACGAGCGCAAGGCCGAGGTGAGGCTGCAGTTCCACGATGTGGCCGGCGACATCTTCCGCCAGCAGTGCAGGTGCAATGAGCTGGTGATCCGCCTGCAGCCCCACGAGGCCGTGTACATCAAGATGATAACCAAGAAGCCGGACATGTTCTTCAACCCCGAGGAGGCAGAGCTGGACCTGACCTACGGCAACAGATACAAGAACGTGAAGCTCCCTGGCACCTACGAGCGCCTCCTCCTGGACGTCTTCTGTGGGAGCCAGATGTACTTCCTGCGCAGCGACGAGCTCCGGGAGGCCTGGCGGATCTTCACCCCGCTGCTGCACCGGATGGAGCAGCAGAAGCCGCAGCCCATCCCCTACGTCTATGGCAGCCGAGGTCCCGCAGAGGCAGACGAGCTGATGAAGAGAGTGGGTTTCCAGCACGAGGATACCTATAAGTGGGTGAACCCCCACAAGCTCTGAACCCTGGGCGCCCCCCTCCACTCCCACCATAAGCCATCCTCCTTCCTGACCGCCCTACCCCCACTGGGGAGGACTCTGGGACCACTGGCCTCAGCTGCATTCAATCCTGGCCTTGGGCTTGGGTCACACTGGCCTGCCCCTCATTGCTGCCACTACCCGACCCCCCTCAGCTGCCAAACACTCAAGACTCGTGCTGTCACCATCCTGGGCACCATAAACCTTGCCTGAGCCGGCCTCCTCCCTCCAGCCCAACAGAAGGAAGAAGGGGGGCACCCATTCCTCTGTCCAGTAATGGGCCCCCTCCCCCTCATCCCTCAGGAGAGTGGGGCCTGGGCCGGAGGGAGTGATGGGAGGAGGAAAGGGGTGAGCGCCCATGTGAGACAACCTGCTTGTGGCCTTACTGGCCAGCTTCAGTGCCACTTGACATTCCTCGTCATCAGCAACATCTCGAGCCCCCTGGATGTCTCCTGTCCCACAAACTCTGCTCTCCATACTACTGGTAGGCGGCCTCCCTATTGCAAGAAAAGCAGAAGCAGCAGCTGGGACCCCTCCCAACCTCAATCCCCTGCCATTAAATCCGCAAACAGCCAAGTAATAATAATAATAAATAAACTCACATTTTTTATTACTTACAAAAATCTTTTAAAAATAATATTTGCCTTAGATGTATATAAAATACAAATTATAAATTATTATGAATTCTATTCTCAAACTTAAATACTGCTAACAGTTTGTATTATCTCCTTCCTGAAATACATTCTCATTCATGAAATCCTGTTACATATACTCCTCTGAAAATAAATACTTCTGACAAGGTATCAGGGCCAAGAGATACTAATACATTATGATTTTAACAGGAGTTGTAATGTATAAATAAATTAATTAACATTTATTTAATTACTTTTATTTTGTTATATTTACAAATATATTTTTTATTTTGTCATATTTACAAAATATATTTCTTCTTGTTTTTGTGATAATAATTATTTATAGATCAAACATATTAGCCTACTTTCCCCATTATTCACTTAGAAAAAAAATTAACAAAGAGTGCATATACACACACACGTATGTGAGGTCACTACCAGGAGTTTGTGAATGCTTATAAACAAAATAAAGATGCAGAAATGAAAATTACTCTTGGTGGAAGCAATAAAATAGATGTAGGGAGGTTTCTGAGGGAGAAGGCGAAATTTTGATTCATGAAATAAAGGAAAAGAGTAGGCTTAGATAGAAACAGGATATTATTTTACTGAAAGGTGAGAAACAAGAAGAATGTAAGTGGTTACATGTGCATACAATAACTTGAGAGTATACTTGAAAACAATATTCTCTGGAAATAGTGGGTACAGAGTTAGGATAGATGTCTGAGGAAAACTGAAATTTTATTGTTGGTAGACAACACAATTTGGAAAAAGGTAGGAAGAAACAAGTGAACTGGCAATTAAAATGAAATGAAAAGCAATGGGATAATGCACGCGAAGCCTCACAAACCCACGTAATGAAATGTTGCTTTTGATTTTCCAAAGTGTTTTGAGGACCTAGATTTAGGAACATTGATACAGTTTAAAGGCGAAGGAGTACAACATAATTTTTCTCTTTGGAGTATAATCTGGAGAGCAGTTGATGTGATATAGATGTAGTAAAGACCAGAAAAAGGAGAAAATGAGAAAAAGAAGAAGATTATAGGATTGGGAGAATGAAGGAAGGACAGAATTTAAAAATGGGACGCTTTCATCCATAAATTGAGAAAAATAACGTATGCAGAAGAAAGGAATGTTATGGCCTTCCAGATGTTGGGTAATTAATATGTCATGGAGCTTATAAGAAAATAAAGGAAATAATCACAGATCAAAATATTTCATTTCAATGTTGAGCAACTGTTTCAGAAATCTTAAAAACTATAAATTAAAAAAAAATCAGATGTGTAAAGACAGTAAGAGTCAATGAAACAACAGAGACCAGATGAACAAGAATTCCAGAGAAGGAAGAGTTCTTTGTAGGTGAGCTGGCAACCACCAGGCGTTTTGTCCTAGGAGTACTGCAGAATCTAGGTGTGAAGGGATCTGGTGCACCCAGGCAAACAGACTCCTCTTGAAAGGGAAAGAAACCAGCAGGGCTTGTGGTAATCACTCAGAGCTGTCATTTGAAAATGGAAACTGTGAGGCCAAACTCATAATCATATTTTCCTTGGCCTAAACCACAGGCCTTATTTTAGGCTGTGGGTGAAGAGTTTGGTTGGAAGCTAAAAGACGGAGTGAAGTTTTCTGCAGTCTCATAGTGCTTGGCAAGTAAAGGCCCCATGGAGGGAGGGATTCTGCCACAAGCACATGGCCAGTTCCTGTCCAGGCATTTACCAGAGTTTGAAGCTGCCTGAAACAGGAAATTAAGAGCTGAACTCAAAACTTCCAAAGGGAACAACTAAATCTCTTTCATTCTTCCATGGATGAAGAGCCACAGCACCACTCACTGCTGAATCCAATATCCAGGACACCTTCACTTCAGGGACAGAAGTGAATCCCCCTCTGACAAAGATTAGTGTTAAAGTAATCAGCAAAACAAATGATGTTTAGTACAATTACTCTTACTGTAAAATGCAAGTAATAAAACCAACCTCACTAACTTTTGTAAAAATTAAAAGAGAAAAATATTGTGTGTGTGTGTATGTGTGTATGTATACATATACATGTATCTGTAAGAATACATATGTTTAAATAGATAGATTGATAGTTCTTATCATAGAGCTCTGCCCTCCTAACCTAGATACCTCTAAAGTCCCAAACTCTTAACACCACCATATCAGGAATTAGGTTTCAACATAAAAATTTGGGGTAAGCACAAACATTCAGATGATGACACAGACTGACCTAACACAAACACAGCAAGGTTTCCAAAGGTGAGAACTGAAGAACTTGTGCAATGTGTGATTCACATTTCATTCTAAAGAAATACTCTTTCAATCAATTATATCCAAATAAATATCTTCAAATTCCTTAGAAATTAATAAGACTGGGTGCAGTGGCTCATGTCTGTAATTCCAGCACTTTGTGAGGCCAAGGCTGGTGGATCCCTTGCTATCAGGAGTTCCAGACCAGCCTGTCCAACATAGTGAAGCCCCATCTCTACTAAAAGTACAAAAATTCGCTGGGTGGGCCTGGAGTATGCCCAGCTACTCAGGAGGCAGAGGCAGGAGAATTATGTGAACCCGGCAGGCAGAGGTTGCAGTGAGCCAGGATCACACCACTGCACTCCAGTTTGGGCGACAGAGCAAGACTCTGTCTCAAAAGAAAACGCAATAGGAGAGGCAACAATATCTATAGTTTGTTTTAAATGTATATAGCAACATGTATAGGCATACCTCCTTTCATTTCACTTTGCTTTATTGCACTTCACATATTTTGAATTCTTTACAAATTGAAGGTTTGTGGCAACCCTGCTTCCAGGAAGTCTGTCAGTACCATTTTTCTCACAACATGTGTTTACTTTGTGTTTCTGTACACATTTTGGTAATCAGCAATATTTACAACTTTTTCATTATTATAATATCTGCTGTGGCGATTTGTAATTAGTGCTCTTTGACATTACTATTACAATATTTCTGGGGTGCTGCATCCATGCCCATATAGGACACCAAGCTTAACTGATAACTATTGTACCTGTACTGACTGCTTCATGGAATGACCATTGCCCCACCTCTCTACTTCCCTCTCTACTTCTTCACAGGCCACCCGATCCTATTCCTAGACACAGCAATATGGAAATGAGGACAATTAATAACCCTGCAATAGCCTCTACATGTTCAAGGGGCAGAAGGAGTTGTATGTCCCTAACTCTAAATAAAAAATTAGAAATAAGATTAGTCAGAAAGGCATGTTGAAAGCCAAAATAGACCTAAAGCTAGACCTCTTGTGACAAAAGTGAGCCAAGTGTTCAATGCAAAGGAAAAGTTCTTGAAGGAAATTAAAATGCTACTCCATTGAACACAAGAGTGATAAGAACGTGAAACAGCCTTATTGCTGATATAGAGAAAGTTTTAGTGGTCTGGCTAGATTAAATCAGCCCCAACATTATCTTAAGCTAAAGACAGAAAATTACCCTAACTCTCTTCAATTCTCTGAAGGCTGAGAAAGGTGAGGAAGCTGCAGAAGAAAATGTAAAGCTGTTGGAAGCTGGTTCATGAAGCTTTAGGGGGAAAAACAAAAAGCTATCTCTGCTAAGAGTACAAGGTTAAGCAGCAAGTGCTAATGTAGAAGCTACAGCAAGTTATCCAGAAGACCTACCTAAGATAATTGATTAAGGCAGATTCACTAAACAACAAATTTTTAATATAGATGAAGCAGCTTTATACTGGAAGAAGATGCAATATAAGACTTTCATAGCAAAAGAGAAGTCAATGTCTGGCTTCATAGTCTTAAAGGACAGGTTAGCTCTTGGGGTACTTCAGCTGGTAACTTTAAAGCCAGTGCTCATTTACCATGCTGAAAATATAAGGGCCTTTACGAATCATGCAAAATTCACTCTACCTGTGCTCTAAAATATAACAATGAAAATCTACATGACAGCATATTTGTTTACAGCTTGATTTACTGAATCTTTTAAGCCCACTAGTGAGACCAACTACTCAGGGAAAAAAATAAAGAGACTGCTTTCAAAATACTACTGCCAACTGACAATATATCTAGCCACCTAAGACTTCTGATGGAGATGTATGAAGAGATTAATGTTGTTTCTATGCCCACAAACACAACATTCATTTTTCAGCCCATGGATCAAGAAGTAATTTTCCTTTCAAGTCTTATTACCTAAGAAATAAATATTCTAAGGCTATAGCTGCTGTAGATCATGATGGATTTGATGGATCTGGGCAAAGTAAATTGAAAACCTTCTGGAGAAGATTCACCATTCTAGATGCCATTAAGAATATTCATGATTTGTGGGAAGAGGTCAAAATATGAACATTAACAAGAGACCGGAAGAAGCTGATTCTAACCTTCATGGTTGACTTTGAGAGAGGTTCAAGATTGTTGTGGAGAAAGTAACTGCAGATCTGGTAAAAATGGTAAAACAAGTAGAATTTAAAGTGGAACCTGAACATATTACTGAATTTCATAATCAAATTTTAATGGATTACAAGTTGCTTCTCATGAATGATCTAAAAAAGTGGTTTCTTGAGATGAAAGCTACTCCTGGTGAAGATACTGTGAACATTGTTGAAATGTCAATAAAAATTTTTGATTAGTACATAAACTTAGTTGATGAAACTGCCCTGAGGTTTGAGAGAATTTTCTCCAATTATGAAAGAAATTCTACGGTAGTTAAAATGCTGTCAATTAGTATCATATGCTACAGAGAAATCTTTCATGAAGAGTCCATTAATGTGGCAAACATCATTATTGTCTTATTTTGGAAATTGCCACAGCCCCTCTAACCTTTAGCCACCAGCACCCTGATCAGTCAGAAGCCAATAGCAGCAAGTTGAAATCATCCACCAAAAAAAGATTACTACAGGCCGGGCGCAGTGGCTCATGCCTATAATCCCAGCACTTTGGGAGGCTGAGGCAAGTAGATCACGAGGTCAGGAGATCAAGACC